CTTCTTAAATAATGTTACATTTTTATTGCATGTGGCTATTCAGAATCAGTACAGTTTCTAAAGCAATGCTAAATACACTAAGTTTAAATTATCATTTCTAAGTAGCATCACAATGCAAAGAATATGAAGTATTTACAATGGAAGACACAGAAAAAAAAAAGCAACAACAAAAAAAAAAAAACTCGCTCAGGCATTGAAATATTCAAGCTTTCCTTACTGAGAAACAGCGTTCGCATCGGAACGCTGCTGAAATTACTGTTAGGATTCAATAGCAAAAAACAGAGGAAATAAAAACACTTTTCCATTTAAAATTGGCAGAAAACTGTGTACAGCAAAAAGGTTTTTAAATATATTAACAGTATTTATACATTTGGTTCCTTTCTGTAAACTAATCTTTATAAAAACATGTAAATATTGCATATGCCGTTGGAGAATTTGTACCTATTTGTCTGAAATATCAAGTATTCAATGAATTCGCTCTTATTTTATACATCATTATCAAATATCCTTGAAGTGGCATTTCTCGTACAGTGTACATCTATTTTTTTTAACATACTGAAGATTTAGAAAAAGAAAAAATATGCCAGGCTAAAAAGTTCAGCCCTTGGCAAGTACCTTCATTAGTGCTTTAGTTGTTTGGGGGGAAACGTCATTCAAACACATACCATACATATATATTTATTAATTTACAAAAAAAAAAAAGACATACGTTATAATCTTTAACTTAAAAACATCAGTTGCAATCTCTATATACACTATATACAGCTTTCTAGGCAAACGTTTTCATATACTTAAGTCAAGTTGAGCGTGTTGTGTGTGTGTGTTGAACTAAACAACTCTCAATCAGTCTGTTTGTGGATGTTTAGTCCGTGCCGTTTCATCTCCAGAATACTCTACATTCAAAAGTGTCTTGTGTTACAATCTAGGGAGTTTGTAAGTGCAAGACAAAGCATTGGTTCTGACGGGTCTACCCCTGTCTGACGGTATAGGGAGCAGCATTAATGGTGTCAGGCCTTCTGAGACGTCCCTGAATCATCACTCTCCACGGCTGCGGATGTAAGGCAAAGGGAAGCCTGCGTTTTTCAGAGCAGTGCATGAGAGGCGGGAAAGTCAGCAGAGGCTTTTGGGTTGTTAACTTGACAGTTCGCCCCAAAGATGAAATTTCTGTCACTCTACACTTGTTTCAAACCTACTTGAGTTTCTTTCATCCGTTGAACCCAAAAGAGGATAAACCTCAGACTTTCTTTTTCACTATTATGGATGTCAGTAGCTATATGTCGGATTAAAAATGCTTTATGGAATCAACAGAATCATTTTGAAATTGCGAGTATGAAATTTATGAGTAGGATAAACTTTTTATTCGATAATAAAAAAATGTGTATAAACTATGATGGGAACAAATTTACCGAATAAAATTTAGTAAATTAGAAGAAATAAATTAAATAAATTTTTTTTAATCTTAGTTCTTTTATTTTAATTTTGAACTAAAAATAAAAAAATCTAATTAAAATTTCATATAAAAAAGTGATTTTGCATCGCTTTCGTCACCATTTTCAAAGCGATTTGCGTTTGCGCTATTTTGTCATTGCGAATCGACTGCCAACTGAATTCTATAAGTATGACAAGCTGACAAAGCATTGCTGCAGCTCTGATACAAGTTTTATTTATGAAGAAACTGAAAAAGCACAACAGTGTTTGGGTGTTCTGTGTTGGTCTCAAGTAATTAGTCTACCGAAAATTGTACATTTCATACAAAGTATGAAGCTGATTCGTCAATTCTTGTCACATGACTCACAATGCACTTACGGCATTCTGAAAAGTTGAGATATTTTCAACTAGGTGTGTCTAGAATATACACTCACCTCCATTGGAAGTTACGAACTTGCGAAGGGAAAAGACGCGACATGTTAACAGTACATAATACAATGCAACTGGCAATCTGCTTTCATGTTGGAAGTGAGCCGCAATGGAATTAACGAATAAACCAGCGGAGCGTTAAATTGCGCAGCATCTGAAAAGTTGTTTTGGCCATTCTGAAATCCCTGGGCCAAAGTTTGTCATCAAAGTAGTTCGGTAATTTTACCCCTAGTACTGTTTTTAGCGGCTGAGCTCACGCCACCAAAAGTCGTTGTGCGTTCATTACGTTAAATCTTCATTACGCAAGTAATTTTTTATGTAAGAAGGCCCATGCTGGCTTTTTGAACTGCAGCAAATTCCATTTTTCTTTTTCATATTTGCCTCCAATTTATGAGAAAATTTTGTGCAAACAAAAATTGTTTTATGCAATATTCAAGTTTTGCGTAAGAAGGCTGATTAATACTTCTGCGTCAAGCGCTTGTATGCGTATGCTCCGGTGTTCGCATAGCACTTACCATGGCTGACGCCAACATTTATCCGCACCTCTTTAAAAAATGAAACCACATGTCACAAAGACGCATAGCTCTGCTATTGGTCAGCTTGGTAGCTGTGACAAGTGGGGGCGGGGCTGAGAGCAACGTGAACCCATTGGAGTGAGTGTTTACATGCGTCAAGTCCTGTGAAGTAGCTCTAGATGTAAACTGTTGTTTTGTTTTTACATTATGATTAATGTTGTTGCACGTTCGTCAGTTCCCACCTTTAAATAAGCAAGTTTTTGCTACTTGTAGATTACGGTAGCATTCAGAAATAAAACACAACAAATTAAACATAAATACCTACTGAGGAACATAAATACCTGCTGAATAGCATTTTGGAAGTGTTATTGCAGAGCAACACAAACAGAGTGCAGAAGTATAAATGCATGACTACACACAAGGCAGGCGCCGTGGGTCATGCCGATCACTCTATGCAAATCAGTCCAATTTGCATTTTTGAATGGAAACATAGCTAGCGGCTACACAGAGGAAAGAAACTCATAAAGGTCTGCAAGCACTTGAGGGTGAGTGAGTGTACATTTTTGGGCGAACCATCCCTTTAAGGTTTAAAGACAGTGAGTTAAAGTGTGCTAGCGTGCCTAGGCTTGGCTTCTCTGACCTGAGGCACAGACATCATTCATCTAGCGGTTGGTGTGTTAATCGCGTGTGGCTTCCTTCCAAAACTGATAACTCTGGAAGCCTGCTTTGCATATGTGCGGGGATGGCCACAGGGCGGCCATCCGTTTCCGGTACCAGCTCAGATTAAATAGCATTATATTAAACATCTGCAAAATAACGTTAATAGATCTTTGAGCGCAGCGCAAGAGCTTCCAGCGCCGCAGTGCTAGACATTCAGTTAGCATGGCAAACAGTTCTCTTTGATACTCTTTGTGTTGTGAGCGTATGCAGGTCCTCCAGAAAACACTGTTTGACAGTACAGTTAGTAAGGCTTTGGATTGGTGTTTGTTTGTATTTTTTTTATTTTTATTTTTTTTACGAAAACATTCACTTGCAAAAATAAATTAATTTCTCTCTCTTTCTCTCTCTTTCCGTATATATATATTCATATATATATTTGTAAGTCATAACCTGGCTCGTTCTGAGGTAGGGTATTCAAGTGACTGCTTTTTTTCCGATATTCGAATTGTTGCGTAAATTGAAATGCCACCTCTGTGCAGTGTTGCAACCGCCCGCGCATACATGAACGCTCACCACCAATAAATAATCGACTGTAGGTGTGCGTGCATGCATATCAGATGTTTGGTTCACAGGTTGTTTTTCAGGGGGTCGGGGACACTGGCCACTCGAAGTCCTCGTAACAAAACCAGTGGAAAGAAAAAGGTCTGTGACGAACACAAAAGTCGAGGGAAGAGATTGTAGTGAGTAACACATGGACAGGAAGTCCTGCCTCTGTGTCTGAGTCTTCGTTAGGCCTCGGGTCAAGTGTCTGTGCGAATGAATTCCGGGAGGTCAAAGTTCAGCCGAGGACTGAAGTTGTAGTAGCAGCAGCAGTATCGACGGCATGGACCATCTGTCCACACGAGCGCCTCCTTTCTTCCACTCGTCCAGATGCAGAAGAAGAAGGCTTCAATGAAGAGACTGGCTCTGTTTAGTCTGAAAAGAGAGAGAGATAGAGGCGCATTAATGTGATGTCTATAAATATCCAGACAAGAGAAACCAATAAAACACAATGTTCCCTGAGATCCGTCACACAATGTAACAGCCTTTTATGGGCATTCACTAATGTTTGGCCATTTTTCTGAAATATTATCATACTCCTCTGTGAGTGTTTTCATGTGTGTTTTTTTTTTCTTCTTCTTCATCCGTATTTGATTTATACACAAGGAATGAAACTGGCTAGCGGGGGGATAAAAGGTTACAGGCTCCCCTTCGTTTTCTCCTTTACCAAGTATGGAATGTGTGCTCTTTCGCTGGGAGCAACAGAAGTGGCAGGTGCTCGGAGACAGACGAGGGAAACACTCGCTGACATTTAGCACTATGCAGCTGACGGAAAGAGCACAGGAATACAACACACACTCAACACAGTGTTAGCTGTTACGGAATGTGCATGTAAACTGTTATTTAACATGTAATTGTTTGCATATCAAATGCATTTTTCAAATAAAAAGTATAAAATTTATTGGATTTTCTTTGGAAATCTGCATATACACTTAATCAATGAATATCATATTTTCTTTTTGTGTGTGTGTGTGTGTGTCTACATGTAAAAATATATGTATTTGTAACTTGGATATGTTGATGGAGGTGCTTGAGCATTCACCAGCGCTATCTTACAGCAATTTGTAACGTTTTGATTTCGTGGCTTATTCGTATTAATTCTTATGATCTCATTCGTACAATTTAATACGATTTGCTTATCACCCAATGATGGTTGGGTTTAGGGGTGGGGTTTGGTGCCACACCTCCTTTTTAAAATCGTACATTTACATACAACTGAACCACGAATTTGTATGAATTAGCCACTAAACTGACAAAACGTAATATAGTTACGTTTCCTCGTGAGATCAGGCTGGATTCACACAAACGTTGAATTAACAAAAAAAAAAGTAATTGACAAAATTACAAATAATAGTATCCCAGCAGGCACAGGATGTCAACATGATGTCAGATTGATGTTGTACCCATACGTCGTGGATACGTTGCATTTTGGAAATGAAAATTAGGTTGACGTCAGAACCCAACATCCAATCTTAAATCAACTAAATATCAACGTCTAAAGATGTTGAAGGTTTAAGATGTTGGCTCAACGGACTTTGGTCTTTTTCCAACACAGCCTAAAAACAACCAAATATGAGCATCATTTAACGTTGTTTTTGAATATTAACGTTGTCCTTAGACGCTGGAAAGACATTGAATTTTGGTCATCTGACATCACAACCTAAATCTAACGTAATATTTAACGCCTTTTTGCATTGTGTACCTGGTGCTATGCCATTTTATGTGAAAGTACATTCCTAAAGTGAAGTTTTTTTTTTATTTGTTGAACACAAAACAATGTTTTCTGAGGAACAAGTAGCCATTGATGTTTATAATAGGAGAAAAACATACTATGGAAGTCAATGGCTGCTGCTTTCCAGCATTCTTCAGACTAACTTCTTTTGTTCAACAGAAGAAAGAAACTCAGACAAGTTTGCAACTAGTGCATACACAAGTAAACAATAGATTTAACTATTACTTTAATTTGTGGTCACATTTTGTTAAAGGTTCTGTGTAGGGCTGCACGATACTGGAAAAATCTGATGTAGCAAATTTTTCTGCAATGAATAGATGGTTTGAATAGCTCTATTTGATGGCTTTCTGAGGAGTTTAACAGTATTTGTCAACAGAAATTGAATAATCACAATGCAAAAAACAAATGCTTTTCTTACTTTGTCACGTTTCTAGTCCAAATGTGTATGTATATATGTCTAAAGCAGGGGTCTGACTCGCGGCCCGCGGGCCATTTGCGGCCCTCAGTGCAATATTTTGTGGCCGACCGCTGTACACTGACAGAATCAGCGGAGCGGGGAGAGAGAGCGCTCCCCGCTCCGCTGATTCTATCCGTACACAGCGGTCACTGGCATTCCCCGCCCGCCGTGTAAACAAAGGGGCGGGGATGCCGGTGACGTCACCACGCACCCCGCCCCTTTGTTAGACGATGTGACGGGCGGGAAGTGTTAGGCTTAAAGCAGGGAACTCGCGCCGACCAGAACCAAGGTAAGCTGTTCCCGCCCCTGCCTGCCACTTAGCTACCTATCTGCAGCCTGCCACCTACCTAGCTACAGCCTGCATCTAATATATATTATAGGTTGATACAGACTGGTACAGACTGATGTGACTGGAGTGGGGTGGGGGTGTTTTATTTATACATATATACGCCTTTTTTTTAGGTGAGGGAATGGAAGTTTTGAGTGAGTTCCCACAAGCCATACTGAGGGTCTCAACTGCTTCCGCTCTAAAGCCAAATGTGGTTCAGATTTGTGAGTAGAAGCGCTGTCAAGTCTCTGGCAGCAAGGAGTAGGCAAAAGATGCCATGTTCAAAAGAACTGTTCATAATCTTCACTCAATGTTCTATTAATGTTCAGGACACTTCATGTTCAGAAGAAATAATTAAAACTGTTAATAATGACATTTGAGGACTTTTTTTTTTTGTAAAATCCCTTATGCGGCCCAGCCTTACCCAGACTTTGCCTCCTGCGGCCCCCAGGTAAATTGAGTTTGAGACCCCTGGTCTAAAGTGACGACAAGACAAAAATTCTAAGAAATAATTTTTTTTTTCATAAATCATAAACTCCATAAATACAGTAATTTAATACAGTTCTGTAGCTCCTGGTCAATTATGATTCAGACTGGACATCTTGAATATCTTTACGATGTGACTATTGCTGATTGTGATATTGATGCTGATTTTGAGATAATGAGCTTTAAAATTTTTGCATTCTATACAACAAAGAGTGTGTGAAACATTTGTTTTTTAAATTAAAAGTCTTAAAATGTCAACAACTTATAAAAAAAACATGCCATAGTCTAAATAAGTTTGTTTGAATTTGTACAACATGGCAACAATTTTACCTAAAACAAATTAACTTCTTTGATAGAACATAGCTGTTAATAATTAAACTACAATATCTATATCACATAAACAAACTGTCAAATTATTACTACCGATATCTCAATCATTTGATGTGCCCAAACAAATAATTATGTAATTTAAAACATCTTCTGTATATGATGCCTTCAAGTATGTTAACAGGACAATGATGCTGTGAAGATGCAAAAAAAGGTCTTCTGTTTTCAAAGTATTTGTCTTTTTAGACCTCCAAAATCCCAATTTTGCTTAAAAATGTTGAGTATATATTTCTATATAGACAAAATGGCTTTAAAAAAGTCTATCGGAAAGATATGTTGTCCTTCTGGCATTAATAAAACAATTTTTAATGTGTTAATAACTGTTGACCACATAAAAATCAGCACATACAAAAAGCAAGCTGCATCCAGTAAGTGTAAACAATCTCTCACAACACATAAAAATGCCACCTTTATGTTTGAAATGTAAACATCACAGCGTCATTTGCTTCTCTCTTGCTAATGTCTGGGCTCTGTTTACAAGACGAGATCGCTATCCTGACCTTTCACCCGCTGTACTTGTTTGCGAGGTTTCATTTGCATGTAGGCCTCACACTGGGGCGGAAGTCTCTGCGAACACAAACCCTTCGTGGGCTGTTTGCTAGCGCCTCCCCCCCCCTCCCCTTCCCATCGCCTCCTCCTGCTTTTCTTCCGCCTGGAACAAGAGCTGTTTTCATAGAACTAGACTCGCTCTCACACACACTTAACAAACCCTTGATTCACGGCCATCGGCTATGCGGCATGACCATAATCGCTGCCATTATCTGGACTATACCCGCACGCATTCCCGACACTTCCGCATGTGAGCCCGATATCACAACATCCACTATGACTGGGATGGAAGTTGTTCCCATGGACGTCAGTGGAATTGAGTTCTATGGGTAAAGTCAAGGCGAGAGGTCAAGCGCTTTCACGCTCGTAAAAGTGCCTCATCTTTTGATACCTCCCTCTGTGTGGTATTGCCGAAGTATTACTCTTCCAGCTAAGTGCTGACAGATCTGTTTGCTCATGGCCAAACAGTGAAGACAGAAAGAGAAAGAGATAGAGAGAGAGGAGTAGGTGTTTTCCTGTTGTTCTTACTACTACAGAGACTGTGGGAAAACACAGTGAAAAACATGTTTACAAGGCGGCGTCACCCTGAAAACCCCCTCACAGCCAAACACCAATTAAAGAAAGACCATATCTATGATAGCAACAACTGTGCGGTTATGTGTTTTTTCCAAACACCATTTGGAAAAACCCTAAAAATAAGCAAAGTGTGGTTTGAATAGTATTTAGTAGGGCTACATAATATAGTTTCAGCATCGATATCGCAATGTGATCATTTGCAATAGTTACATTGCAGCATGTGCAATGTTGAGTCTGGATTATAATTTATTAGTCGCATGTTTTTACGGCAAAAGTATGTTAAATGCATTTAAACATAACAAATTGTACCCTTTGTAACTTTAATAATGATTTTTTGCATTGAATTATTTGTTCAATGAAGACTACGCAGTATAATTTTGCATGCGATTCTTCAATTACTGTACCTGAATATGGTTAGAGTCCTCGGAAATCACTAAAACACGTTTTATTTCTCTATTGTATGTATCGTAGATTGTTTTTTTTTTTTTTTTTGTATTTTATGCATGATTCACTTCCTTATAGAAAAGATCTCAATCAATCTACAATTATTCAGCCTTTCCATATAGAAATATTTAAGTCATCTGGTGAAATTGTATTCATATTACAACATACATTGGAGAAAAACAAAATATCGCAATATTCCATTTTTTCCAATATCATGCAGCCCTAGTATTTAGGCCAATTCATGTGGTCCAATGTGGACAATCACAAGATTATAGTATGTCATTTTTATTTTTTCTTCGAAATTTAACTAATCGCCAAATTGAATATGTGTGTAACTGAATTTGTTAAATTGGTTAAAGCAAGTGCTGAACCAATGAACCAGTGTTGGGGAAAGTTACTTTTGAAAGTAATGCATT